AACTCGGATCTCTGATTTTCACACTCCGAGCCGCTGTCCATTACTCCACCATGCCTCATAATAGCCATGACTGTTCTTTGGAAAGGTAGTGGACTGATTGGCTGTTGTCTTCTCCATGGTTTCGAATTCAGAGTTGCTCGTTCGGTCAAGAGAAAAGATCGATTCATACCGTTCTCAAGTTCGAACTCTGCTTATCAATTCCATTTCCAGTACAGATATCTGTCACATGACCAACACACCCAAAAATGGGGAGAACCTATTTTCAAAATTAACATGTTTTTGTTAATAAAATATTACTTTTGGAGTAGTATATTTCTTTAAGCAACAGTCAAAGATTGCCAAGTATAATTTAACCAGGTACAAGACTACATGCACATAGTAAATTAATCTTCCCACAATAGTAGTGCGATAGGTAATTAGCATTTAATTATCTTGCTATGCTAGGTAAACTCACCGTCGATATTAAGCTGAGCTAAGCAAATATCAATTATTGTTAGCTCTTACAAGGTCAGAGACATGGAACATCCAGTAAAGACCGGACTCACTACAGCGCTAATGATCTGCGATAGTTTCTTTATACAAGAATTCACACAATACAAGGCTCAAGAGGTGCTTAAGTCAGAGGATTACTGTCATGATTAATGAGGTGTGTGGCATGAATGAAAGGGAGGTGGTAGGAAAAAAAGATTAAACAACTCGTAGAGGTGTTGATATGCTGCGAAGTTTAAATTAAAATTGTAGCGTTCAGGGAAGCACTCACGTGGGAGTTAGTGGGATAAAGAGTGAAAATTCTTAAATTTGGGGAAAATGGGGGTATTTTATTTCCGTGTTAGTGGCATCGCGAAACCTAGAAATAAAGATCTGAACTGGTGTTACTAAAGAATGGAGTTCTCCCTTGAACATTCCTCGTGGAAATAGCGATAAGCTAGCAATGTTGCGTCTGTAGGAAACAGGCCGCAGAGTGTTCTTAATCATTTCACGCCCAAGCAAAGCGGAAATGCCACTAGTACGTAGGGGATTACAGGGAAGGAAAGTGAGAGAAAAGACTGAGTATATGGAGGATTGAGGAAAGGGCAAAAGATGAACAGGATTCAAGAAGATAAAAGATGGCGATTGAAGTTGCATTTAAATTTTTGAAGATTCTATTTATCAGGGAAGCAAATAAACGGAAGGGAGTTCCACTGGAGGGAAGTGCGAGAAAAGAGACTGTTGGAGTTGAAGTGGCGGTTGTATTTAACTAGTTCAACAGTAAAACGGTGAGACGTAGTTGCCACTCTAGTTAAATTCATGCAGTCGGGTCACCAGTGAAAAAAGCTCGTTAGAGCAGTTGACATGAAAATATTCATAAATTCATTAAACGCACATATAAATTCATAATTTCCTGTTTCCAAGGATACAGAGAAATCCAATCATTCAGACAGGGGCGGTAGCGTGTTCATTTTTATTAACTATTGTTGTATCAATTATGAGTTACGTTCACAAATTCTATATTTCTTTTTTAAATCAAGTAAATGTAATAGAATTACTTAAATTATCTAAAATTATTTTTCATATGATATATGAGTATGTATCTTACCAGCTCCTATTTTTTATTTTATTTTTAAATATTATTTAAGGAAAAATTTTGACAATGACGGTAAAGAATAGCTATTTCATTTCTTTGATTCAGTAAATTTTTATTTTTTATAAACTTAGTAATATATAGTTTCTCATGTATGCACAAAGGATATGGGTCATTTAATGACCTACATATTCTAACTTTTCTTATTAATTTCTATTTTACTGTAGGTGTTTTATTGGATTCTTTTAAGTGCTAGAAATATTTCGATAGGGACGAATGATTTCTGTATTTATTTATACTAAATGAAGTTTGATGTTGATTGAACCTCTTTTTGAAATCATGGCCTGTACAACCTATATAGATTTTTATGTTTTCGGGATTCTCAATAGATGAGATATTACATTGGTATACTAATGATTCCGTGCAACATTTATTTTGTAGAGGACAGTTTGTAGAGGATTTCTACAGTTACATAATATTTGTTTATCTTCATCTCTTTTTATTTTTATTATTATATTTTCTAAATTTCTTTGGTTTTTGTCTAAGTGTTTATTGAAGATATTAGGATTATGTTTCTTAATAATTTTTTCTAAGTTTTCAGTACAGCTGTAACTTAATTTTAGTGTATTTTTATTGAAAATAGTACTGAGTTTACTATCTCGAGGAAAATGTTTAACTATTAATGCAAGGAATTTTCTGCCCTAATTTGTTCTTTACCATTTAGTTGTATGGGGTTGTATACCAAATTATTTTTTTACTTCTGTTTTTTCTATGCTTTCCATTTTGCTTTTTTATATAAGTTAGTTTTGGGCTTTTGTAGCCACTATATTTTAGAGCTTTATTATAAAAATTAATATGTTCATAGAAAATCTTCTCATTTGCTGAATTTATACTTATTCTTTTTTCAATAGATATATATGCGTTTAAAACTGAGTAAATTTAAAAATAAGTTATTCCAAAATTCGCTTGAAGATGAAACAGAACTGTTGCTTTTTAATTTAATTATATAATTAAATTTGAAGTTTTTAGCTTCATTTTTTAAACATGTTTATTACTGTGAAGCGAAGAAACCATATTTTAAATCAGTTAATTTATAATATATATATATATATATATATATATATATATATATATATATATATATATATATATATATATGCGTGTCCGTGTTTATTATTTCAAGCGATATTATAGTGGGTACTTCTTATTCGAAATAGACGCCCCATTTTTATTTATTAATGAGTGCGTATTACATTTATCGGCCAACGAATTCATGGCAGCTGTTTTGATGAGGTATCTTCCCTGGTGCCTCGACTACATGAATTTAAGCGTGCTACTAGATTGGCATCTAGGTCCCACCCTTTTACTGTTGAAAATTTTAAATGCAACCGCTACTTCTACTCCAATTTGAAATTTTTAGCTTCAATTTTTCAAACATGGTTATTACTGTGTAGCGAAGCAACCATATTTTAAAACAGTTAATTTATAATATTTATGCTTCGTAAATTTACATTGAGCACTGTTTTGTAAAAAATAAAATAAAAAAATATCAATAAGAACACCGGATTTTATATCTTACTGTTCTTTATATATATATATATATATATATATATATATATATATATATATATATATATATATATGTGTGTGTGTGTGTGTGTGTGTGTGTGCGCGCATTTGTGTGTATATATGTGTGTGTAGTACGTATGTGTGTATTTCAATTATATTTTTCAAAATTGCCATATTACACATGGAAAAGTTCTAAATATCAGAAAAAGAACGTTTGTAGCAATAGAGAGTACGGACATAAAAATTAACACCTCAGGGTGACTATGAGTTCCATGTCTCATGTGATCAACTGACAACGCGGTCCTCCTCTTTGTGTAGGCTCTCGCTATATATAGGGTACTTTTTATTTGATTTTGTTTTATTTTTTTATCCAGTTCTATTTTGTTGTTGTTGTTGTTATTTATACGTTATAGGTTATTGGTTGTCTTTGGGGTAGTGATGAGGTTTTAGGTAGCTCAATAGGAATTTGTTTTTGCGACGGCATTTGAAAATATGCTTGTGATTGTGTCCACATTCGTCTAGAAATGTGATTATTGTTATTTTTCCTCAAGAAAAAGATTACAGCGCTTTGAGACGTTGTTATGCGCAGGTGCATTTATATTATTTTCATGTTATCTTCGGTGTGTTTTGATTTGTGTTTTTGATGCTCCATGTGTAATTTGAAAGTGCTGTGCTGTTTGTATATTCTTCTTAGCACAACACTCGTATCCTTTATCCGAAATTCCCAAATCCGAAAACCTCCAAAATCCGAAAATTTTTCAGGTGCTGACATGACATGGTACAAATGGAAAATTTCAAAAAGCTACGGGAAGGATCCTAGGTGATGTGTATTTTTTGTAAGTAACCTCATCTGTCCTGATTGAGGGTTCCCCAGCCCAGCTACGTAGACTACGTTGACGACAGTTTTTTTTTTATTAGCGATCGTCACAGGAACACCTTCGTTCGTGGATTACTTACTAGGTGTTTCGTGCTCAGTAAAGATATTATTCAAAATGTCAAGTCCTGTATTTATATATTTATAGTAGCGATCATGTTTTTGTACACGTACAGAAAGTATAAAACATTATTTTGACATGAAATCTTTATTTAACCACTTAAAAAACCGTGTGAGCATTACATAACTAGCGTCATTAATTGTATCTGTATGGGGTCAAAGTTTATTCAATTTTATATAAAATTATTTCAGGTTATATGTTATTTATATGCATAAGCTGTGTTATGAAAAGTAATGGGATATCGTGTTATGTTTATTCCTAAGGTCCCCCATTTTATAGATGCTGTATACAAATTAAATTACCTGTATTACAAATCCGAAAAATTCTGAAAACCGAAACACTTCCGGTCCTAAGAATTTCGGATAAAGAATCATCAGCCTCTACTGGTATAATACTTACTGCATACCTACTTTTGCAGCCTCCTGTATATATGTTTCTATATACGAATTCACTAGAGTGATGGAAAGTAAGTTATTGCGGAATACCGTTCTCACAAGTACATTATTACTTCAGCCTTGTTAGAAGTTAAGCTAATATATATATATATATATATATATATGTGTGTGTGTGTGTGTGTGTGTGTTTGTGTGTGTGGGGGGTGTCTTTTAGGGAACAGAGTAAGAGAATGAGGAGAAATGACGGACACTGAGAAGCCAAGGGAGAGCGATTGCAGCATCCGGTTGGTATTGAGAGCCGAGATTAAAGTGTGGCTCATTGCAGTGTTTAAGGAAAACTGATTCCTGCCATCCGTGCAAGAGGCAGTTCCTCGCCCATCTCGGGTTTAATTGATGATAAGTAATAAATAGATCCGCAAACTGCGGTCGGAAATGAACGGCCTTACTCGTGTTTCTCTTGTCTTTATATATTCGCTTTAGTTTTCTCTTCTTTTTTATTCTTTGTGATTACCTTACATGATTTTCTTTCTTCCTGTCCCTCCTTCCTTCCTTCCTTCCTTGTCTTTTCTTCACTCGCAGCTTTTTACACTGAACTTTCTTTATTTAACAGTTTCCTTCATCTTACTTTCTCCTCATTCATCCGTTTTCTTTTCTCTCGTCTCTTATACTAGATCTTTTCACTTTTTCCTTGATTTTTTGTTCCATATTTATATATGTGATTATATATATATATATATATATATATATATATATAAGAAATGGACAATGTCCGACAATTTATCTATTAAAGACATTTTTATGTTTAACGTTCTTTTTATAGATACAAGTATTTAAGTAAATGCTCTGTTTATAATAAACAGTATTAAATAACATTTACCGGCCTGAATGTCCGAGAAATTTTTCATAGAAAATATTCGTCCTTTGACAGAATTCGAACCTGCATCCTATACGGAACCGTCATTTGTGGCCGAGCGGTCAAGGCTCGTCAGCGTAAATGACGGTTCCGTATAGGATGCAGGTTATGAACGATTTTATTTAAATTATTATGAAACATCACTTCTTTTCACATTATTTAAAAATTTAAAAAAACATAAGAAGAAATGCCATAAAAGGAAAAGAAAGAAATATAAAAAAAATCCATAAAAGGAAAAAAAAATAATATAAGCAGGCGAAAGCCAAAAAGAAGAGAATAAAAAAAAGGAAAGAAGAAAGAGAAATATAAAAAGTTAAAAAAAAAAAACATTAAAAAAACAACAACACGTCCTTTCTCCGAATGAAAAGAAGAAAAAGAAAAGAAGAGAAAAAAAAAAAACGAAGCGGAGTAATATATCAAATACAAATTACTACAAAAAAAAAAAAAAAAAAGAAAAAGAAAAGAAAAAGAAAAAATGGCGAAAGAAAAAAAGAATGGAAGACAATAGGAATTGTTGATAACAAAATAGACAATGAAAGAACGTTACCATTAAGGAAGAAGTCATAAAAGAAAGATTGAAAAGGACCGGATGACTGATAAGCGTCTATTCTAACGTAATTTCAATGAAGAAATAAATTGAATAGCATTTGTATTTCTTCTTTTCTCCTCAGTAATTTTATAATTTCAAACTTAATAGTGATTAAATTTGGATTTTAAAATTGATAATTTTTACTTTTCATTTTAATATCAAATTTTATCATATAATTTAATAATTATTGGTTATAATAAATTCTTTTTTAATATTACCTGTATTTTAAAGATCTGAATAGCTATTATAACATGACTTCGTTGTCAAGCTTTTTGAATTTTCCTATACTTGTATTTTGAATGGTCATTCTAGCTTTTGTAACAACGTTTTCCCCTTGCGAAGGATTGTTAATTAATTTGAAACTTTTAAAACCATTTATTTTACATTCAACATCATCACTTGATAAGACACTGAGAGTGTTGAAACAAAATGGCTATTTTTGTAGTGATTTTATAACATATTTATGTTATAATTATTTTAAATAAATAATTATATATATATATATATATATATATATATGAGATCACCCCTGGTCGGCGGCTGATGAAGACAAGGTATCGCACGTGCTAATACACGTTGTATGTTAATGTATATATGTATATATATATATATATAGGTCTACGCTGTCTGTCTGATCTTCAACAATGATCCCACTGATGTCATCAATTCTCAAGTAGGAATTTACGCAGATGACACTACCATTTACTCCTCTCTCAATAGCAAATCTGCCAGAGCTGACTAAGTTAACCTGGCCGTTTCTCTTGAACATCCTATCTGTTGTCAACTGGGGAAGGAAATGGCTTGTAAAATTGGATGCCTCCAAAACAAAACTCTTCTCATTTAACCCCAATCGAGAACCTTTGGTGCCCTCCATCAGCATGGTTGATGCAAAACTCATTGAGGGCAACACACTGCGGCTTCTTCGCTTCACGTTTTCAAATGACTTGAAGTGGAACGATTACATCGAATCAATAACTGAATCTACTGCAAGGAAAGTTGGGACACTGTGTCGTGCTAGAAGTTTTTTTTCTCGTCAGAGTCTATCTTGCATATTTACAAATCTACCATTCGTCCGTACATTGAATTCTGTTCCCATAGAAAAGGTAGCAAGGGTCTCTCAGATGATTAATGGAGAGAAGTTTAGTTTTGGTGATGTAAAAATTAACAAGTTAGCTTTTGCCTCAGTTAAGTCTGAACATGAGGTCATTTTGGACATCGGCTACCATTTTGACCTTCTTATTATCGAGGCAACAGTAAATTTTTGTGTCGTCAGCGTAGATACCAAGTTCAGAGCTGATGCCATCAGGAAGGTCATTAATGAAAATTAAAAACAGAGTAAGACCAAGGATGAAACCCTGGGCAGTCAACTTCGCTAGTACGAAAGGATTTAGACGGGTAGCCTTTCAGGGTAACACTTATTTCACGATTCAATAGGAAAGATTGGATCAGTTCAAAAAAGTTTCCGGAGACATCGTAACTTTTCAGCTTGTGGGGTTGGGACATGAATGCCAGACACTGTCAAAGACTTTCAAGATGTCCAATGCAACAACCCAAGCTTCACCGTTTGTAAATTTTTTTTTATACACCCTATATAACGTCTATGGCGAACTGCGTTCCCGACGAAAACAAACCTCTAAATATGTTGGACAGACCACCACCCACTTGACACCCTCGAATGTGATATATTCCACCTACTGCAAAAAGCGTTTACATGTCCTAGAAGCCCTTATTATAAAATGCAAGAAGCCAATAGTTGGTAACATTAATTATGATCACGGCAATAATGTACTCACTATATTTGGAAATTTCAGCAACTTTTATACCGCCTACAATAGTACTTATACACTATATGCTATACTTGAGCAAGAATAAATAATCTTTGAAAATGGGTAAAGGTTTAGTTGTACGTATACAAAACAAAACAAAAAAAAACATAATGAAAAACTACCTGTCCGTCATGTTCAAAGACGGATTCTTGTCCAAATACACATCTATATATCTATCTACGCTGGTTCATATATATATATATATATATATATATATATATATATATATATATATATATATAATTCGACTCTCCCGTCGAGATTCGACGTATGAGGTCAAGCAGATCAGTTTCCAGGAAACCGACAGCCCGACACCGGTACATGAGATTTGATTATAGTGGTGAAGGCCTCGTGCAGACCATCCACACTTTTTGAAGGGACGAATACAGAGACCTGGTGCACCGAATGCCACAAGGTTCCCAAACGACCCTCCGCAGGTTTGGAATTCAGAGTTGTCCTTCTCCTAGACCAGTTGCCAACCAAGGCTATAGAACCCAGTCTGTCCTGCTATTTTACCCATAGCTGGAGGGAGAGGAAGAGGATGTATACCTTTCCCAAGGGTATTAGCACGTAAGTGAATGTAATGGATTCGACTGGAGTTCGAACTCTGCTTTGCGATTCCTCAAACCAAGCCGCACGGTGGAGTAATGGATATATATATATATATATATATATATATATATATATATATATATATATATATATATATATATGTGTGTGTGTGTGTGTGTGTGTGTGTGTGTGTGTGTGTGTTTGTGTGTGTGTGTATATATATATATATATATATATATATATATATATATAATGAAAACAAACACTTAAAATAAAAAGGTGATATTTATTTCATTGAGGTCAATAAAATGAATAAAATGGCCTCGATTCTTCAGACCTGTAAACCAAATGTAAATGGAAAAAATCACTACAGGTTTAAAACTTAAGAGTAGATTTGACAGAATTTCGATTTTACACTAAAAATCTTTTTTCACCTCTCATTGACTATCCAGTAATTTGTTTACCCTTTGCTTTCCTTAATTTTATTCTCAATTGCCATTTTATATAACAATTTATGTTCATTATGAGCCCTAATATCAGTTAATACAACTGAAACGAACACTTTTGGTCTTACTGTCCATTCAGTTAATCCCTCTTTCACTCCTATCTCTATATACACACCATCTCCTTTCGTCCCCTTCTTACACAGTCATAAATTTACATCTTTCTTTCCCCCACTCTCTCAGTATATTTGAAGTAAATCTATTCTTCAGTTTTAAACCTGGACTGATGTTTTGCAATTTCCATTTTTCCATTTGCCAACTTTATATATATATATATATATATATATATATATATATATATATATAAAAGGGATGTTTGCTGATCAAACCAAACTCATAAATAATTAAATCGGTTGCACTACTATATGCCTATCCAGACGACTTACGCTACACCTAACTGACCACAGCTCCATTAGAACTCATTTAAACACACATACAAACCTAAATGTCTCCATCCGAAACATACTAGTAGAAAATACAAGCATAATAATCTCATTCACAAGTAAAAAATAAGATTAAAAATATTGGCAGCCCTAATAATAAAAACAACACTCAATAACATTACCTACGAACACTGCCACAATGTGCTGACTGTGTTTGGAAAATAAAACATCCCTATAACTCTAGATACATGCACACACCCCATTCATTCAGTTAAAAAATAAAAAATAAAATCATGCTTGATAATGGTTAACAGTATATCCGAAAGCGCTCGGGAATGCAGAACATTTGGACCGTTTTTACACACTTTGTGTCCAGAAAAGAAAAAACTTGTACAAACACAAGAAAAATTAAATAAAAAGCTAACAACAACAAAAACTACTAAATAAACGATCAGAACTCATCTCAAAATGCAGACACGAAAACAAATTTTACTATGTTATTTAAAAATCGAAAATCGGAAAGAATAAATAAAAATAAATGAAATAAAATAAATATGGAAAATTCAAGTGAAATAAATTAATCCAAATAAATGTATAAATAAAGTAAATAGTAAACAAATTAACAAATTACTCCCGCCAAAATAACTGTTATAATAGAATACCCACAATGCAATAGACTACCCACGATACACCACTGACCCATGTATATAAATAGTGGAGAAAAAAACACAACGCATATGGCCTGATGATTGCGTTGAGGCAGTCGACACGCAGTCTCTGACTGTGTGCGACCTCTGTCGAACTCTGCTAAAACAGAGAGGAACCCGGACGAAGCTTTGCCGAAGGGAAAAGTTTCGTCCGGGGAGGTAGACAGATCCCGAACCCGCTTATGCGAGTTCTAAGGG